AAATTAAAAGAAATCATATTCCTAAACATTAGTAAGGTGTATGTATTATAGGGAAACTGTTTCTCCTTAGGTCTCCTCCTGAAAGTCCTTCTGAGAAATACACCTGACCCACCAATCATGATGATCATGTGTTATCTCCTTCAGCTACTGTTGCCCCGGTAACCAGTATTTTAGCTACACCTGGATTAATAGTAGGTGAACAAAATGAAATAAGTTATTTTGTATAACTTCTTTTTTAAAAAAGATTTTATTTATTTGAGAGAAGAGAGAGAGAACAAGGGGGGAAGGGGGAGAGGGAGAGGGAGAAGCAGACTCCCTGCTGAGCAGGGAGCCCAGCACAGGGCTTGATCCCAGGGACCCCCAAGATCACCACCTGAGCCAAAGGAAGACGCCCAAAAAACTGAGCCAGCCAGGCACCCCTCTCTTTTTATAACTTCTAAAATAGTTAATGGGGCGCCTGAGTGGCTCAGTGGGTTAGAGCCTCTGCCTTCAGCTCGGGTCAGGATCCCAGGGTCATGAATCGAGCCCTGCATTGGGCTCTCTGATCAGCAGGGAGCCTGCTTCCTCCTCTCTCTCTGCCTGCCTCTCTGCCTACTTGTGATCTCTTTGTCAAATAAATAAATAAAATCTTTTAAAATAAATAAATAAATAAATAAAATAGTTAATGGTACTGCTGATGCTCTTCCAGTAAGTGCTTTGTGAGAAGAATTCTTATAAAACAGAGCCACTATACATTATCTCCTGTTACAATGTAATGATCTTCCACAGATGTGCTATTTTTTTTTTAAGATTTTATTTGTCAGAGAGAGAGAGAGCAAGCACAGGCAGACAGAGTGGCAGGCAGAGGCAGAGGGAGAAGCAGGCTCCCTGCTGAGCAAGGAGCCCAATGCGGGATCCCAGGCCGCTGGGATCATGACCTGAGCTGAAGGCAGCCGCTTAACCAACTGAGCCACCCAGGCGTCCCCACAGGTGTGCTATTTTTTTAAGATTTTATTTATTTGGTTGTCAGAGAGCACACGAGTATAAGCAGGGGCAGCGGCAAGCAGAGGGAGAAGCAGGCTCCCCGCTGAGCAAGGAGTCCCATGTGGGACTTGATCCCAGGACGCTGGGATCATGACCAGAGCCAAAAGCAGAGGCTTAACCGGCTGAGCCACCCAGGCATCCCATGAATGTGCTATTTTAAGATTTTAACAAAATCGATAAATTTATAAATAATATGAGACATGAAACTGATCAACTCAATGCTTTCCCTAGGTTTGTTTTGTTATAAGACTTTATTTATTTGACAGAGATATAGTGAGAGAGGGAACACAAGCACAGGGGAGCTGGAAAGGGAGAAGCAGGGCCCCCTGTGTGAGGCTGGATCCCAGGATACTGAGATCATGACCTGAGCTGAAGGCAGACACCCGAAGACTCAGCCACCCAGGCACCTGAATACTTTCCATAGTTTATTTGATTGGTTACCCCATTGGGGAGGGTGTGTAAAGGGTGCTTATAATTACAGTCCATGCTACTTAAAATGTGTTTCTGGATTTGTGGATTTGTAAAAAGTGCCTTGTGGGTACATACGGCGTCATATTATGCATGACAACTCAAGGATAGGATTTTGCCACTTTGGGTCAGCAAACGGGAGAAGAATGAGGCACAAACAAGTCAGCTGCAAGAGAAAGGGAGCAGGGGACAATAGTAGAGAAGACTGTTGCCCCAACAACTCCTCAGTCCCGCTTTTATTAGATTACAGAATCCTCCATCCATAGAGTAAATCCTGCAACTATCCCTCAGAACAATGTATTACTTAAAATATAACCCAAACAGTAACCCACAGAAGAGCCAAAGAAGGCCAAACATTAGTCATATGCCTTGTAGATAAACAAGAAGGAGGGCAAAATAGGTCTGGTCAAGCAGTATAAAGTTTATAGTTGAACAAGCACATTCAAAGGACTTATCTAACTAGCCACAGGCGCCTTTTGTGGAGAGAAAGAGGAGATAACGGAAAAATGAAGCAGGCAGCGTTCTGCCCTGAGCATGCCGGGCATCCGCCGCCCCTCAGCTTCAAGGCCGTAGATCATCCTCTCCCCCAAAGGTCTGTTGCCAGTATGTTTTTTTCTTAAGGCTATGTCTAAATGTGCTTGGTAACTAGTAAAATTTCCCATGGGTTATATTTTAAGACTCCTCCAGGGTCTCCTCAACCACAGCCGGGGAGGCAGATGAGTGAGGGGGCTCGGGAGGGGCAGCCATCTCAGGTCCTCCTCCATCTCAGCCGGGGCGCCCATTCTCCCCGTACGGGCCCTGGGAGGTACTGGCCCAGATGGGGAGCGATCTTACCAGTATTGGCCCTTTTCAAGCAGTGATGTGTATAACTGGAAGGCTCAAAACCGCCCTTTCTCTGAAGACCCGAGGGGCCTGACTGACCTGTTTGAGTCCGTCATGCATACACATAGCCCCACCTGGGACGATTGCCAGCAGCTCCTTAAGACCTTGTTCACCACCGGAAGAGTGCGAGCGGATCCTCTGGATCCTCACCAAGGCCAAAAAGAATGTCCCCAGGGACAAAGGACAGCCGACAACCTTGCCAAACCTGATCGACAAGTGCTTCCCCTTGAATAGACCGGATTGGGACTTTGGGAACGTGGAAGGTAGGGAGCGTCTCTGAGTTTACTGCCAGACTCTTATGGCAGGTCTCCGAGCGGCGTCTCCCCACCAATTTGGCTAAGGTAAAAGCTGTAATGCAAGGGGAAAGTGAAAGCCCGGCTGTATTTTTAGAGTGCCTCTATGATGCTTATAGGCAGTACACCCCTTTGGACCCCCTGGCAGAGGAGAATCAGTCAGCTGGGATTATATCCTTTATAAACCAAGCTGCCACAGATATTAGAAAGAACTTATATAAACAGGAAGGATTAGGGGAAATGACCATTCGGGATCTGATGAAAGTGGCAGAGAGAGTTTTTAACACTTGGGAGACTCCAGAGGAAAGGGAGGATTGGATCAGAAAGGAGAATCAGGCGTTACAGGAAAGACTTAGGAAAGAAGACAGAGAGCATCAGAGTAGCGAGAACAGAAGGCAGCAGAAGGAGATGGCCAAGATCCTGCTGGCAGGGGTACAGGGCACACCCCGGGCGGGACCAGGTCTATCCGGACCGGCCTGACCTCGGAAACCGTGGCCCAGGCTAGATGGGGGCAATGCGCAAACTGCAAAGAATATGGGCATTGGAAGAGGGAATGCCCCAAACGCCAGGGCCAGACTGGACAGGACGCTCGGGTGTTACTGGCGGGAATGGACAGTGACTAGGGGCGACGGGACTCGGGTTCCCTCCCCGAGTCTTGGGTTAACTGTGTATGTGGAGGGGAAACCAGTGGGATTCATGGTAGACACAGGAGCCCAGTACTCAGTTTTAAACAAGCCTACGGAGCCCTTATCTCAGAAAACCAGCCTAGTGCAGGGAGCAACTGGGTCCAAGGCTTATCGATGGACCAGTAGGTGCCAGGTGGACTTGGGCCCCCATCAAGTGACCCACTCTTTCCTGGTTATCCCTGAATGCCCGGCCCCCTTGTTGGGGCGTGATCTCCCAACCAAGGTCCAGGCCCGTATCTCCTTTGAGCCGGATGGCATCAAAGTGATGGACGGCCAAGTGCGGCCCCTTCATGTCTTGACCCTGTCCCTCGCAGATGAGCATTGCCTGTTTGCCCTGTAGTACACTTCTCCCCCCACAGAGTGGCCCCAGGAGACGGATTACTGGTTTAGGACATACCCTCAGGCGTGGGCGGGTGTGGGCCTAACGGCCCACCGAGCACCAGTAGTATTCGAGGTCAAAGCCTCGGCCCAGCCTATCCGGATCCGCCAGCACCTCATCCCCATGTCCACCAGGGCATGGAAAGGAATTGCTCCACACATTAACCGCCTCCTAGAAGCCGGGATACTGAAACCCTGCCACTCTGCCTGGAACACCCCACTTCTCCCTGTTAAGAAACCAGGGGGAAAGGATTACAGGCCAGTCCAGGACTTGAGGGAAATGAGTAAGAGGGTCGAGGACATCTACCCCACGGTCCCCAACCCTTATACCTTACTAAGTCACTTGCCCTGTTCACATGTTTGGTAAACCACCCTAGACCGAAAGAATGCATTTTTTAGCATAGCCCTGGCACCCAGCAGCCAACATATTTTTGCCTTCGAATAGCATGATGACAGTACGGGAACCCCCAGACAGTTAACCTGGACTAGACTACCCCAAGGCTTCAAAAACTCTCCTACTCTGTTTAATGAAGCCTTAAATCAGGACCTGGACTCGTTTCGCCGGAGCCATGATTCAGCTACACTCCTGCAATATGTAGATGACTTGCTTCTGGCAGCCCCCAGTGAGGCCGAATGCCGACAGGCCACTGGAGACCTCCTCCAGGAGCTGGGACAATTGGGCTATCCGGCCGGTGCAAAGAAAGCCCAAATATGCAGGCAGACAGTCACCTACCTGGGGTATAAATTGAAGGAAGGAACCAGATGGTTAACAGAGGCCACAAAAGAGACTATTCTTACGCTTCCAGTCCCGACCTCGGCCCGAGAGGTCCATGAGTTTCTAGGGACAGCGGGCTACTGCCGGCTGTGGATTCCAGGGTATGCTGAGATAGCCAAGCCCCTGTATGAGGCAACCAAGGATAAGGCCCCCTGCGCCTGGGGGCCAAAACAGCAAAAGGCCTTTGAAGAACTCAAGACCGCCCTCTTAAAGGCACCAGTCCTGGCATTGCTAGACCCCCTGAAGTCCTTCACCCTCTTCGTCGATGAGAGGAGGAGGATAGCGAAAGGGGTACTGATGCAGTGCCTGGGGCCATGGAAGCGTCCGGTTGCCTACTTATCCAAGAGACTAGACCCAGTCGCATCAGGATGGCCGCCGTGCCTGAGGATCATCGTGGCAGTAGCCCTGATGGTAAAGGACGAAGACAAACTCACTTTCGGGCAGCATCTGAAGGTGGTAACTCCCCATGCGATCGAGAGAATCCTGAAACATCCCCCTGGTAGGTAGATGACCAATGCCCGCCTGACCTATTACCAAGGACTCCTGTTAGATGCACCCCGGATCATCTTTGCCGAACCAACTGCACTGAATCCAGCCATCCTGCTGCCGACCCCGGATCTGGAAGCCCCCCTGCATGACTGCCAGATCATGACAGAAATCACCCAGGTGCGCCCCGACCTCCAGGACACCGCCCTTCCCGACAATGAGTGGATATGGTACACTGATGAAAGCAGCTTCGTTATGGACGGGGTGCGAAGGGCGGGCGCAGCGGTAGTGGGCCAAGACGGGAATGTCATTTGGAGTGCCTCACTTCCCCCGGGGACCTCAGCCCAGAAGGCCGAACTGATTGCGCTGGCGGAGGCACTGGAACGGGCCGAGGGGAACCGAGTGACTGTCTACACCGAGAGCCGCTACGCTTTCGGCACTGTCCATGTGCATGGCGCCATCTATCGGGAGAGAGGCTTTGTTACAGCGGAAGGAAAGGAACTGCGCAATCTCCCAGAGGTACAGAGGCTGCTGGCGGCCATGCAGAAGCAGTTGTCCACGTACCTGGACACCAGTCTGCCCGGACCTCGGAGGCTGAAGAAAACCGGTGAGCGGATGAGGCCGCCAAAAAGGCGGCAGTAACTTCACCAACTTTGGCACTCGCCCTGCCCACATCCGAGCTCCCACGCCTGCCCCTGCGACCTGACTACACCCCAGAGGATCTGCAGTGGATCCGGAACCACCACTACCCAAAGCCTGATCAGCATGGGTGGCATCGGGACCCAGAGGAAAGACTGATACTGCCGGCAAAACTAGGACTGTTCCTCCTTTCCAGCCTGCACCAAGCCGCCCATTTAGGGAAGAGAAAATTGCTGACAGTTCTCGAGTCCGCCCACCTCCGGTTCTCCTGACAAACAACCCAGATCCAGGAGATCGTGGATCAGTGTGTTGGGTGCCAGGCTATGAAACCCAATAGGAAAGGACCCCTACGCACAGGTACGAGGGTACAGGGGAGGGCGCCGGGTCGGAGCTGGGAGGTGGATTTTACTGAGGTAAAACCTGGGAGGTATGGGTATAAGTACTTGCTGGTATTGGTTGACACTTTTTCAGGTTGGGTGGAAGCCTTCCCCACGAAACGAGAGACTGCCCAGGTTGTCGCTAAGGCATTAGTGGAAGAGATCATATCCAGATATGGGGTCCCCGAGGTTTTAGGGTCCAATAACGGCCCGGCTTTCATCAGCAAAGTCCTACAAGGATGGGTCCAAGTGGTGGGGACGGATTGGAAATTGCATTGTGAATATAATCCCCAGAGCTCAGGGCAGATAAAAAGGATGAATCGAACCCTGAAGGAGACCTTGTCTAAATTGGCCATCGAGACTGGCGGGGACTGGGTAACCCTCCTACCCTATGCTATCTTCCGGGTTTGGAACTCCCCATATGTGCACGGATTAACTCCCTTTGAAATCCTGTATGGGGCACCACCCCCCATTGTTGTCCGTACTCTCCCGGACCAAGACCCTAATGTGGCTCCAAATTATCTGGCAAGTCTGAAGGCCCTACAGGAGGAGGTTCAGCGTGAAATCTGGCCCCTGGTGCGCTCTTTGTATGAGACAAGGGACACACCGAATCCGGAACATGGCATTGTCCCAGGGAATTGGGTATGGGTAAGGTGACACAGGTCCCGAACCTTAGAAGAAAGATGAAAAGGTCCTTATGTGGTGGTTCTGGTTACCCCCACTGCCTTAAAGGTTGACGGCATTGGACCTTGGGTTCACCACTCCCACGTGCGCCGGGCCACCCCGCCGGAGCAGAGACAAGCCAGGGAGTGGACCATGCGATAACACCCTGATAACCCCCTGAAGCTACAACTCTCCACACCTCGGGGACGCGCCACATCTCCAGTCCAGTCTGACGATGAAGTGGCTGCTGGTCCTGACCCTGCTCAACTACTGGAAAAGGAACCTTGCGGAAACCCATCCTTATTGGCCTTATAAGCAGACATGGATCCTGACCGATGGAGAGACTGGTAGGACTCTCAACGAAACCACCCGCGTGGCCCCACTGTCCACATGGTGGCCAGACTTAACCTTCTGCTTCAGAGACATCAACCCTGATTACAAGTCCACGGCACCCAATTTAGCCCGTAGCTATGGATTCTATGCCTGCCCAGGACACTCTAAGGCCCCACAATGTGGGGGGGTCCAATATTCCTTCTGTAAGAGTTGGGCCTGTGTCACCTCTAATGACGGGGATTGGAGGTGGCCAGTTTCACGACCAGACTCCCTACGATTGGCCTTTGTTAATCAAGGAAAGCCTAGAGGGGCGACCGTTCCTCTCTTTCGAGGTCCTTGTTCCCCTCAAGACTCAGACAGGATCCGAGTTCAGTTCACTGACCAGGGAAAACAGGAAGGGGTTAACAATTGGATTCAAGGAAAACAGTGGGGAGTAGTATTCTACAAATATGGGGGACATGCGGGATCCACTATTGTTGTCAGATTAAAGGTTGAGGCAGTACAGGAGAGTAGTACTCCAGTAGGTCCAAATAGGGTGTTGGCTCCTCCCGGCGGGCGAAAGGCTCCTCCCGCTCCTCCCACCCCTACCAAGAACCCAGGTAACAAAAACCTCACAAACGGGACCACAAGACCCCAGACTAACACCTCTGTATTCTCCCCAGCACCTGCTACACAGGCCACCGAGGACCCCTTGTGAAAACTAATGCTTACTATGTATGAGACCCTTAATGCCACCAGCCCTAACCTCACTGCCTGGTGCTGGCTATGTTACTATGTGAAGCCTCCGTTTTATGAAGCAGTAGGGCTAAATGCCACCTATAATGTATCATCAAATGAGAACCTCTCTCAATGTTCATTGGGGGGACCGTAAAATCCGTCTAACCCTGCAGCGAGTGAGTGGCAATGGAACCTGCCTAGGGAAAGTGTCCCAGGTTAAACGAAGTCTTTGAACTTCCATAGATAACACCCCTAGTTGGAAAGATGGCCCAAAGTGGCTAATCCCAGAAAATAATGGATGGTGGATATGTTCAAAGACTGGCCTCACCCTGTGCCTCTCATCCTCGGTCTTTAATGCCTCTGAGGAATTCTGAGTCCTGGTGACTGTGATGCCCCGCATCCTCTACCACCCCGAGGAACACAGGTATTCTCACTGGAATAGAGGCACAAGCGAGAGAAGTAAGAGAGAGCCCATCACTGCACTAACTATTGCTACCCTGTTCAGCTTAGGAGTGGGTAGCTGGGGCCGGGACTGGCATAGCCTCCCTGGTTACTCAACGAGCAGGAATGACACCCCTGAGGGTGGCCATAGATGAGGATCTAGAAAGAATAGAGACCTCTGTAAGTCATTTAGAAAAATCTCTCACCTCCCTGTCCAAGGTAGTACTCCAGAATAGAAGAGGGCTTGATTTGTTGTTCCTCCAACAAGGGGGACTATGTGCCACATTAGGAGAAGAGTGCTGCTTTTATGCTGACCACTCGGAGGTAATAAAAGAATCTATGGCTAAGGTGAGGGGAGGATTAGCCAAGAGAAAGAGGGAAAGGGAGGCACAGGAAAACTGGTTCGAGGCTTGGTTTAATAGGTCCCCCTGGTTCACCACCCTAGTCTCTACCTTAGTTGGCCCATTTGTTTTGCATGTGTTTAACTTTTGGCCCTTGCATTTTGAATAGGCTTGTTAATTTTATAAAAAATCGTGTTAATACCATCCAACTCATGGTCTTGAGACAACAGTATGAGAGTTTGCTCGCTCCTGGGGACCCCTCCAACTTCCCCGTAAATGAGCAGGATTCCTCATTATACACAACTAAAGGGGGGAATGTAAGAGTGGGTTCGCATTAGAACAGCCATCTTAAGGACCGGGAAGCCATTTTACTGAGCGACCCCTGGCCGAAACTGCATACGTGACTTTGAGAAAAGAGGAACTAGCTAAAACCTGAAAAACAACTTAATCATAAACGACAGGTTGTGGCGCAATTCTGTTTGAAAAGAGCTTACCTTGTTAAACCACCAGGTTGTGGCGCAAGCCAAAAATCTATAACTATGGAAAATTACTGTGAGTTAGATGTTTTGAAAATGCTGTATAAACCCTTGGCTTTGAGCGCTCTGGGTCCTTGTTGGAACCCGCCGCGTCGGGCAGATACTTGGACCCCAGCTAGCTGGAAATAAACCTCACTGTGTGACTTGCATTATCGTGGGTTTCCTCTTGTCTCTTTGAGGGGTGGTCAACTCCAGACGCTAACACTGACCACCCAGACCTGCAGGGGTCCAGGCAGGCTAAGGAATGCTGCTTGTGAGGCTCCTGCTGCATGAATGACTTTGGGAGACTAGTTAAATATTTGAAATCTATTGTCTGAAAAAAAAAAATAATATATATATATATATATATAGTCTGGCCTCCAGGTCAGAACTGGCCCTTCTGTTCTAGACATGAAGAGATATAAATCTTGCTTCACATCCCCTCCTGCTCCAGGCTGAGCTGGCCCCTGGGCATGGGACCTAGGAGGGGAGGTAGGCTCCCACAGCCCAGTCTCCTTGAAAATGTAAAAACACAGTAACATGGAATGCAGCTCGCTCCAAACTGCCATGGAGGCGAACAAAGGTTTAACTTCAAACCCCATCATTTGTCCTATAAATAGGGCTTTATGGGGATGGTCAGTTGGAAGTCTCACCTGAGGGGAGGACACTGTGCCCAGGCCTCTCGGTTCGGACTCCTGCCCAGCTGTTTCCACTGGGTCTTGCCCAGCTAATGAGGTTGGATGTTGTAAGTACCCAATTTGATGTAACTTTGTCCTAGTCTCATTTACTGCTGTTACCCTCATCTGTGTGTAGATTTCCCTTTCTGTTTCTATCAGATCTTTATAATATCAGTAAAGTGTTTTTCCCTTTCCAAACAGAAAGTACCACTGTCATGGATCTTTTTTTAGAACACAATCCCAGGGGGTGCCTGGGTGGCTCAGTCGATTGGGTGTCTGCTGGGGTCCTGATCCCAGGGTCCTGGGATGGAGCCCTCCCATCAGGCTCCTTGCTCAGCAGGGAGTCTGCTTCTCCTCTGCTTCTGCGCTCTGTCAAGTAAATAAAATCTTAAAAAAAAAAAAAAAAAAGAATTTAGAACACAATCCCAGTAGCTCTTTCTGCCCATGGGGCCTGTTGCCCACTGTGCTTTAATAAAAACACCTGTTGGGGTGCCTCAGTGGCTTGGTAGGTTAAGCATCTGCCTTTGGCTCAGGTCATGATCCCAGGGTCCTGGGACCTAGCCCCTGTTACACCCAAGTTTTCGTGTCCAAGAGACCACCAAGGAGCCAACACCAATGCAATCACACAAGGGTTTATTCAACAAGCTTAAGCTTGGGCTTAAGTATACCTGTCAAGTATACCCAAGTATACCTGACACAGCGGAATAGGGACTTGGACCCCGAACCAGATTACAGTCAGAATTTTTTTTTTTTAAGATTTTTTATTTATTTGTCAGAGAGAGAGAGAGAGTGAGCACAGGCAGATAGAATGGCAGGCAGAGGCAGAGGGAGAAGCAGGCTCCCTGCTGAGCAAGGAGCCCGATGCGGGACTCAATCCCAAGACACCAGGATCATGACCTGAGCCAAAGGCAGCTACTTAACCAACTGAGCCACCCAGGCTTC